TCCATATAAATATGTCGACTAGAAAATTTCGCAAATCCATTGGCTTTGTGACAGACCGACATTTTAGAAGGAGGGTGATTGGGAATTCGAAAGAATAACCGCGGAAAAAAGAAAGAATTAACTCTTTCTAGTGTAAAATGACAGTGATGTCCATCGTGTTAAATTTCAACAAGTGCCAGTACTCAGAATGATTTTGGAATGCAATTTAATGATCATCACGCTCAAGGTAATATAAATTAAATTTTATCTAATTATTTAGAGTAAAGATAATATAAAAATATGTAAATATTTTAGTTTTAGCATGTAATCAGAATAATTTTGGAGCGACATCTTCTCATGACATGAGAATCTAGTAATTATGAATTTAATTATATATAATTATTTATAAATCGGAGAATCGGAACTGAAATATATATTAATTTTTAAAACATCATTATTATTATAATAATAATGATGTTTTAAAGATCAATATATATTTCAGTTCCGATTCTGAGGATAGCCTTAATGGAGAAGTTATACCAGAAGTCTTCGATGTAAAACAATTTTTAGCAGAATGGGCGTTACATATCAGGTTCTTCATAATGCTGTATCGGCACTGCTTTTAAAAAAGCATCATGAGTGTTTTAAAGATATACCAACAGACTCTCGGACACTTTTAAAGACAAGAAGGATAGAGTATCGAAAGTTATGAACCCAGGAGAATATATTCATTTTGGGACTGTTAACTGGTTCAAACCCAGAGACGTGAACGTAAAGAATTCACCACAGCAGTGGAGAGAAAGTTGAGATATTAGAGCATAGTATACCACTAAAACCAGTTACGTAATATTACGTAATTTTAGTGTAAGAAATATGTAATCTACATTACGTAATCAGATATTACGAAATAATTACAAAAATTTTACGTAATTCGCCTGCAAAAAATATTACGTAAGAAAAATGAGGATTTTATTTCATATATATTACATAAAGATCGACAGCTCGTGATTTTTCGGAATATTTCGTTTCATGAGCGAACTGTCAAACCAATGAACGGCCTTAAGCGACAGAAGTACCGTTAATCCTGCGAGGCAGCCGCCGGCCGCCGGCCGCCCTAGCCGGCTATGATGCCAGATTTAACAAGTTATCCTGAATGCATTATGGGAAATGGGACTATTCGCCATGTGTTTTGAATTAAGTGTTGTGTTTGTAGTGTCTAATTAATATTTTTAATTTGCTAATTAAATGTGAAAGTGATATTAAATATGTGAAAATATATGTTCATAATATATGTATTTTAAAGGCTCTTAATTACATGATTAGTTAAATCTTTACTCTAAAACGCTCCATTAACCTAAAAATTGATCGTCTGTGTTATTAAATTTTTTTCCAATAATAATTAGATATATAAATAACTTTTATTCTATTCTTCATATTCTAAATATTATTTTATTGTTAATAAAAAATCAGTGACAAATTATTTATAACAGAATCACTTGGCCTTTTAAAACCATTTGTGCTGGGGTAAGTATATAAAAAACATATGTATTAAAAGTTAAATAGAAATTATTACCATTTTTTTCATTTCAGGTGAAAATCGAAAGCTAATAATTTATATCGAGATGCATTTCTTCATCACAAATGGGCCATGAAATAGATATCGAGAATGCTTTTGTAGAGAAGACATCATAGACTTATACCACATTTAGTTTTAACTGAAGATACAATTCCTAATTACATAATATACATAATATGAAATATTTAGTGAAGAACTTATGAAGACTTTGTAAAGGATACTTCGATGATTTTTATTTCGAGTTTAATTTTAAATTTGCATTTCTCTTATCATTTATCATATTTTCCATTTGACATGAAAATGTTGATAAATATGTCATATGTAATTACATATTTTATAAAAATTGTGAATATTATTTATTACTTTGTGGATTTGTTAATGTTAAATTGTGTACATATCCGAAAAAATAAACATACCATATAAATGTGCTTTTTCTTTATTTTTCAGAGAGTATATATATATATATATCTAATATAATATATCTATATATATATATATATGTTGTGTGTGTGTATATGTACATACATATAACTTATATATGTATGTACATACTATGTGTATACGCATTCCTAAGTTCATGAATGTATGTGCTCACATATACGCATATGTGTGTATGTGTGTGTGTGTTCATATATACGAATATGCATGTATGTATTTATGTATGTGTGTAAAAAAGGCCCCTCCACGTCATTTTTTTTTCAAAAATTACGTATTATTATGAAATATTTTCGTAATCCATATTACTAATCCACATTACTTAAAATAGGCGAAATTATGACACATATCTTACATTAATCTTACGTAAAAATGACATAAGTATGTAACTTTTTTGCGTAAAAATTACATAAATATTACGGATTTTGGCTCAGTGGGTTTTACCTAAGGTACCGTGTGTTACCAACAACACACCAATGATTTATGGACAGCGTAGAAGTAAGTGAAAATATTAAATAAATTCAGTTTTTAATTGATACTAATTTATCTGAAAATACATTTTAGGTATTCAAACTTCACCATCGATACAGTACACACCTAGACCTGCTGCCAAAAGATTGATGTTTAATAGTCGTAAGTATTGTAATGAAAACTCTTAATAATAAATTTAAGAATTAATATAGTTGCATACTTTCCGTGCGTATTTGTAATAAATAATCCATATAGTTATAAATATTGAATGAACTAAAACTGCAATTCCATATGTAACATATTTATTAAATAGTATTTTATTTACACTACTAAAAATAACTAAATTAAACTAACTTAACCAACAATGATTTAGCATTGGTGATCATTGTCTTGAAACTTATCATTATCTTATTATCTAGTATTATTAAATTCAAACTAATTATTTCATTTTTTATTTTAATTATTTTCATTGTCATTATTCACATTGGGTTCATCACCACCTTCTAAAGCACTGGAAAGAACAAATTTTGAATTATTATAAACTATAGTTTTACAGGTTTATTTTATATAATAAGAAATGTTAATTGACATTTTGGAAATATCTGGAATATATTTCAATTTACGTAGCATTCCGGACAAATCTGTCATGGTCATGACACAGCCATCCTTCGACACACTGTTCAACTTGGCTCTGCGTCACACGCTGATGTTGTTCAGATACAATATCTGAAAACATTATTGGTTCAATATTTGTTTAAATAATAAATAGTTTAAAGTAAGTCATTTAATGTATTAATTAATACCTATAATTAATTTTACTATTAGGAGGGCCAAAAAATTCTTTTTGGCTATGCCTCCAGCCTAGCTGTACTCCTAGGCTACCACATCCTTAAATACCTTCTTTAAAAGGGTTATGGTAGCGCTTTTACAGTCCACGCCACCAATTCGTCCTAGGCGTGCTTTCTATAAATGAAACAGTATATGTAATTGATTTGTCCATTTTATCCATTGAGGAACATCATATTTACCTATTTTTCTGCTATTGACCCATCTGTCAATAGCTGCTCCCACATCTTGAAGCACTGCTTCTGTCGACACCGGAAATTTATTGTACACGGCCAGTGTATAATCAGGCAAATCATTCTTCTTTTTACACTGGCAGCATTGCTTATTAATGCTGTCCATTACAGCTTGGAACTTGCTGTCTTGCGTGGTTTTTGTATCCAATCTTGAAATTAATTTCTCCAAGTCTGTTGTTTTTAAAGTTGTCTTAACTTCATAATGTACATTAACGTTGATGTAATTAATGTAATGAAATAACTCACTTTTGTACCCATCCATGGGCTCTGTGCTGCTCCCAGCACCATGGTCGAACATCTTATTCCCATCATCACAATCTTAAATATAATATTAGATGATATGATATGTAACATTAGTATACTTTTTAGTAGATTACTTACAAGTGTTAATTAGACGCCTTGCATTTGGCGTTGGTCGACTATTAACTACTGATGTGGAATCTAAAATCTTAGATTAATAATATCAACATAACATAACTTTACGGGTTTACTTACTGCTCTGTCCAATAAATCCGTTATCGAAGTCTATAAAGTAAAAATGAATGCATATAGCAAGATTTACATTTAATAATAAATATTTAATTAAAAAATTAATTGTATGCGATCTTACTGTTTGAATGAATTGCAACAGGCGTAGAGCATCTACTCGATAATGTTGTTGGTGCAGGAGCTGGAAGCAAGATGCTAGACTCGGAGTCCAGATCCAAATCGTCACTGGAACTTCGGTCCTTTCTCGCACGAACTCCCCTTTGTACTTTTCTTGCCTCCGCATCAGATGTTATGTCTGAATATTCAAGTGCTTCCTTCATTTTCTCAAGTGCCACCTCAAATGAGTCTTCAGGCAAAATTATAAGACTTATAACTAGTTTAACAAATAATTACATGTTACTTTATTGTATAGATGATAATAAAAACCATATTATTATATTGTCTAGGATAAAAACTATACTCTTCTTCTCTTCTTTCGCCTATGAATAAAAACATTTGTTGACTGTTGAGTCCATAGATAAGTAAACATAGATAAGTAAACGGTTGAGTCATAAATAAACAAGTATAAATAGATAGCAAACCGGATCGCTTTTCGATTATTTTAATTTTAATTTTCTGCTCCTGCTATAGAGGCGCGACGAGTGTAGCATGAAAATTTACCCCTAGGTTCAATTCTAGATAAATCCAAATCCTTGGGTTTAATTCTAAGATAATTTTATGTTTATTTATCTATGATTGTTACAATAAATCTGAAATTTTAATATGTGAAATGATAACAAAACATACTCATAAAAAATATATTTTATATATATTAAAAACATTTTTAAAATGAAATAAAATTAATGTTTAAGCAATAATTAAATATAAATTATAAAGTATATCAATAAAAGATATTTACATAATTTAAATAAAATATAACTAATAATAAATAGACGAGATTTTTCTAACATTCGCAGAAAAATATACGGGTTTTTATCTGCCTCAGTCGAGTTTTATTGGCCTTGCGACTTTTCTTGTACTTTTCGAGAGCTACTTTTTTATGGGGTCCTGTTCATTTTCATTCATATATTTTCCTGAGAGACATAGTTTCACAGTATTGCACCAGTTATTAACAACAAACAATATAAATAATTTAAAAAATTGAACATCTCCGACCCTTATTTTTCCAAAAAAAAATCTTCAATGAATCTTGATTAAAATTTCTGGTACATAAATAATGAAATTCTGGAATCACTTTCTTTTTGTTTCAAATGTGCCTCAAATCCTCTATAACTTTTCAGCCTAGGTTCTTAACGCATGCTGCTTTTGTTAGTACCCTGCTAGAATTTTTTTATATTTATAAACTGTATTTAATTCAACACTTTTTCGACACTGTGGTACGTGACACTTCGCCATATTGAAATTCATTATTAATTCTTTTGTTTTTCTGAAGTATTCGTTCGTAATCGGTTGTTATCGAATAGCACCGTACCATAGATAAACAAGTATAACCGTACAATGGTCCTGCGGGTTTGATGTGCGCGTTGGCCGAGAAACGGCGTTTTGAATTTGGGAACAGTAAAACCCTCTATCACAGGAGCGGAACACTAATACGATAAAAAGGTCATTTGTTCTATGTTTGCCCCCCATCCCTCCGACGAATAATCATTCATAGATAAAAGAATTCAAGTACATTCAAGTTCATTATCACCGACGAATCATGTATATAAGCATAGTATATAACAATAAAGTCTATGGTTGAGTTTTATCCTTTAAGCCGGCCACAGACGTAACTGTATAACTGCGCAACCTGTGACTTGCACCTGTATTCTGTAGGGTTCTGTAGCGTCTATGGGTGTTTTTTGCGCAAATTGACAGACTGGTGCAAGCGAGTAGGCATGAGCACTTTTCGATTATTTTAATTGCGCAATCATTCAAGTCGGCAAGTTCATTCGTTGGCCGCGTGTGGCAGCACATGTCCCGTTTTTATTTTACTTTGTACCGAATTCATAATACAAGTTTATGAAGTTATCGACAATTAAAAGTTATTAAATTAGACCTCTGAACACTTTGAATTCTCTTCTGATGCTGTAAATATATAAATTAACAAAAAAGATAAATTTGAGCCGTCTGTGGGCACTGTAAAAATACGCCTGGTTGCGCATTCATTCAGTTGCGCAAGTATACAGTTACGTCTGTGGCCGGCTTTAGTTGAAATTTGTGATATGCTTGCGATTGCGCAAATACTTGAATATAAACTTGAGTCGTCTGTGGGCACTGTGAAAATACGCCTGGTTGCGCATTCATTCAGTTGCGCAAGTATACAGTTACGTCTGTGGCCGGCTTTAGAGAGCCATGAGCGGCATGAGCCATATTGAATTGGAAAAGACGCGCCATGGACGCGCCGCTTGTTAAATAACAAAGCGATTCGATTCTTGTCTCATCTTTCTAAAACCAGCATTCTATGCTTCAAATGTCAAATAATTGAATGTAATGAAAATGGAATGGAAATGATTGAAACGTAATAGTTGAAATCCTAGACAATATAATAATGGTTGAAATCATTTATGATATTGAAAAAGAGATTAAACTAAAGTTGAGTTGATTAAACTAAAATTCAACTAGATTATTATTTAGCCCTTTTGTGTATATTTAGTGAGTAAAAACAGTGAAACTTTTTAAAAATGTCAGACGAAATAATTATGTCTGTGAACAATCAGGCAATTAAAATCGAGCCACCGGAATGTTTAGAAGAAGGCATTAAACTAGATGTTGAGGATGAATTTGGCGTTCTTGATGCTATTGTTAAATCTGAATCTGAAGATGATGAAACGTGTTTAGAAAGATTCATGAATTCCGAAGTGACTGTAGAAGAAGAAGTCAAACAGGAATTAATCGATACATCAGCTTATGAATGTGACATTTGTTATCGATCATTTGCAGAATCACATCATTTGAAAGAGCATATGGTTGATCACATGTCCACTAATAGCAAAGAAAGCCCTTTTGAATGCGAAATCTGTCATAAGACTTTCAAACTAACAAAAGGGTTGAAAATACACTTGAATATACATTCAGCAGAACGTTCCTATGATTGCAAATTTTGCAACAAGTCATTCAAAGAATTGGTTGCTTTGAAAAAACACTATCAGGTTCACAGTGATGAACGCGCCCATGAATGCAATATATGCAAAAAGAAATTTATAGAAACGGGTACTTTGAAACGTCACATGCTCATTCACAGTGAAGTCCGTCCCCATCAATGCAATATATGCAATAAGAAATTCACACAATTAGGTAAAATGAAAAATCACATGCTCATTCACAATGGAGTATGTCACCATAAATGCACTATATGCAATAAGAAATTTACACAATTATGTAATCTGAAACGTCACATGCTGATTCACAGTGGTGTTCGCCCCTATCAATGTAGTATATGCAATCAGACATTTACACAAACAGGTAATCTGAAAAGTCACATGCTCATTCACAGTGGAGAACGTCCCCATGAATGCAGTATATGCAATAAGAAGTTTACAGAATTAGGTAATCTGAAACGTCACATGCTCATTCATAATGGAGTACGTCCCCATGAATGCAGAATATGCAATAAGAAGTTTACAGAATTAGGTACTCTAAAACGTCACATGCTGATTCACAGTGGAGTTTGCTCTCATCAATGCAGTATATGCAATAAGAAATTTACAGTAATAGGTAGTCTGAAACGTCACATGCTGATTCATAGTGGAGTACGCTCTTATCAATGCAGTATATGCAATAAGAAGTTTACAGAATTAGGTAGTCTGAACAGCCACATGCTCTATCACGATAGAGTACATCCTCATGACTGCAATATTTGTAATAAGACATTCACACGTTTAGGTAATCTGAAAAAACACATGCTGATTCACAGTGGTGAACATACTCATGAATGCAATATATGCAAAAAGAAATTCATAGAAACAGGTACTCTGAATCGTCACATGCTGATTCACAGTGAAGTGCGCCCCCATTAATGCTGTATATGCAACAAGACATTCACAGAATTAAGTAATCTGAAACGTCACATGCTCATTCACAGTGGAGTGCGTCATCATGAATGCAGTAAATGCAATAAGAAATTTAAAGAATTACGTTCTCTGAAACCTCACATGCTTATACACAGTGGAATATGTCCCCATGAATGCAATGTATGCAATAGGACATTCACACAATCAGATACTCTGAAACGTCACACTCTGATTAAGCACAGAAACTAGTAATTGAGAAATATGCAATAAAGGATTTAGTCAATTGAAGAAATTAAAGAAACACATGGCACTTCATAGTCAGAAGTGTGATAAAAATCAATCAAACTGAAGTTAAATATTTGGAATTATATTATAAAATATTCTTGCATGTAATACAATGTAATGTATATGCAAATATAATAAAATATACATTGCACATCACCTAATATGCATTTATTGATATCAAATCATTTGTTACATAATAATAAATAATAAATGGTAGTCTGTTCGAAGGCAGGTTCATAGTGTGAGAGCCACCACAAGTAAGTGATTCCCCCTCCTCTATTTTTCATATATTTTTCTTTCCAAACTTCTGCTTCCATGCGCTTCGGCTTTCATTTCCCTGGATTTTTTTGCGCTTACTATTACTTAGCTTACTCTACTGAACATTTTGATTAGCATAACTCAGAAAAATGTATGTGTTATGTGTATGTGTGTGTATGTTTGGATACAATTTTTTGTCCACGATTTCGATAAAGGTTTTAAAAATTAGAATTAATTTTGTCACAACTTTTTGGGTTTGGTACCAAGATTATTGATTTTTAAAGTTCACTTGTACGGTTTAAACAAATATCAAAATTTTCAGATTTTTTTTTTTTGTCAAATTTTTTAAAAATATAAAAAGTTTTACACTTTAAATATAAATTTTAAACTTACAATTCATTTTTTAAATGTATATATTTTATGTGTGTTATAATGAAAAATATATTTTCAGATGTATTAATACTGAATTAATACTAAATGAATTCATTTGGCATCTCTAGTTAACGTAAACATTTTCAAGTGTTTTATGCGAAAAGATCGTCGCTATATAATATGATCGATAAAACATATACTATTATAATTATATCTATTTGACAATATTTAAAACAATTGTTACCCAGTAAACCACAAAACGTAACAAAGCCATGATGTTACGTAACGCTGGCACGTCCGCACGAACCAGGTACGTAACCTGGGAGGCACACAGAAGTATCTATTTCGCGGGCAAGAACGTAACGGCTGCTTCGTTGCACACTAATACACCGCGGTTGCATTTTTGCTACGTATCTAAATTGAATAAAAAAGCATGTAGGCATGGGGAGTTATCTCCGAACAAATGCTCGTTACACTGTTTTGGCGAGGATTAATATTTTTAGCGAAAAAAAGATGTCGCTACTTGTTTCAATCTCATTAATCGAAAAGAAAATAGATGGCTGAGCGGAAATTAATCGCCATTTTACCTTCTTATATAGTGAAGCCGTAGTGAAGCATTTATTTACGTTGTGAAGTATTTTGTTTATAATTAATTGTGTTCAAGGAATTATTATCAAATTAATATGGCAAAGTGCAGTGAACCAAATTGTGGTAACTCCAGAAATAATATAAAGTTGCATGTCTTTCCGGCATCTAATGATCAGGTATGTATATAATGATGTATTGTGTTTATATAATAAATTTGTATAATAAAAATATAATGAAAATGTTTTAGATGTTTTCAATTTGGGTGCAGAGGACGAATAATCCTTTAATGGACGATTTAACTCCATTATATTGTGGCAAACGTTGTTATGTCTGTGATGCGCACTTTACAAATGTTTGTAAAGTTGAAAATTTGCCAAAAAGTTCGAAGACAAATTTGAAAATTAATGCCCTACCGATTTGTTGGGAATCCTTACCTAGAAGAGAATTGTCTCCTGGATAAACATAGATTCCGTAAGAATAATAATAAAATTAATATATGTATTTGATAGTTAGATTTTAAAAAACTTATATTATTTTAGAACTTGGTGTGTCGATTCACAAATGTAATGTGAAAGCATAGACATACCGATTGTCAAAGAATATTAATCCCATCTCAGGTAGATAAATACAAGTTGTTTAGACATTAATTTTACATGATATTGTTGCTCACTTAACTCAGGTACTCTACCTTTTTTTTAATAATTTATACATTAATATGCTTCCTTTGTTAGCTTCTTTGAGCATTATGGAACTTACTTATGGAACACATACTTTTTGCAGAAAATTACTGACAAATTAATCTTATATTTTCAGTTAGGAGATGGAGACCTAAAAACCTCAGAAAAGATTTTTGCAGTACCCTTAAGATTGTCAAGTGCGGGTTAAAACAGTCACCTATTCTGACACCAGTTTTCCGGAAAGGTATTTTTTTATATTAATTACAGCAATAATAATTAATTAATCAATTGTGATATTAAAACATGTTATTATATTTAATAGATGTCCTAGGAGGTAACTGCAAATTGCTTCAGTATTCACTGATTAAACGTAGAAGTGCTTTAACTCTTTTCGTTGCTTTACACCAGGAGGTGTAAAATGTATGATACATCCAAAATTTTGTTCTTGGAGATAAGAAGAATTAACAAACAATGTAATAATTTAAGGGATAAATTGCAACAAAGTATACAATGTTCTGAAAAGTTTTCAAATATTCCGGAAACACTAAATGTAAGGGCAAGAAATTTTATATTGTCTCAATTAAGAGAGCATACTAAAAGACCGAAAGGAAGAAAATTCACAGACGAGGACAAAATTCTTGCTTTAAGTTTGTATAAAAAGTCTCCAAAGGCTTACTACTTTTGGAGACAAATATTTATTTTGCCATCTCCTCAAACATTGAGAAAGTTGCTTTCAGAGATACCTTTGTATAGCGGTATAAATGAGTGTCTTTTTAATTAAGTTCAGCTATTTCTCATAAAAAGTATGAGAGTAGCAAATACTGTGTTTTGATGTTTGATGAAATATCACTATCTTCAGAATTGTCATATGATCGTAAAAAGGATCACATTGTTGGTTTTGTAGAGTTAGCAAATGGCAGAAAATGTTTATTTCCGGATCATGCACTTGTTTTCATGATTAAAGGAGTGAAGAATCGTTGGAAGCAACCAGTTGCTTTTTACTTTTCTGAAGGTGGGGTTAATAGTTCTGATTTAAAATCTCTTATTGTGGATGTAGATGAACAATTGCACGTGCATAAAACTTTTTTCTGTTCATAGTAAACACAATGTTGATACTTTTTGATCTTTTATGGCAATTTTGATGATAACGTTTTAATCCTAGGAATTCAGTTTACTCTCAATTTTGATATCAATATATTTATATATATATAAATATTATTTATAATATTATTATATTATGTTCTTATGATTTTTTGTTTATGAAGTATTTGTACTTTTTAACTTTTTAAATTTTTGCATTATTTGTGATTCCTTCTGAATTTGTTATTCCGAACTACACAATCTCTGTTATATATTATTGATCATTAAGTAAATCATATTGATCGTTCCTTGTAAATTTATCATACCATTGTGAATACTTTTTTTAATTATTTATAAATGTAAAATTATAATACTTATTATTGTGTATATATTGATTATTACATTTATAAAAAATTTAATTGTTATGTAAAAATGTTTGTGATATATTTGAAAATATATTTTGTACTTCGTATATTTTTTTCTCATTTCCAATATAAGAAATTATTTAGATTTTCTTATTTTGAATTACGTATGCGAACCATATCTAGGAATAATACCAGCGGTTGATTTATATACTGAACAAGTGCTGCCTCCTTTAGATCGCTAAAAATATTAAAATGGCGGTAATGTCAAATGGCCTCAGATAGCGATCTAGTTATGTTTACTTATCTATGCATGTAGGTGTCTTTTATGTTACATAATTATTTAATTAAATTTCCTGCGAATATAGAATCAATTTCGGATATTTAGTAATTTTATTAAATAATATCATTTACAATATACAAAATTTACATATTACATAGTTGCAACATTAGAAAACTAATATTTGATAGTCCTTAAAATGTTAGCCTATAAAAATAATTATTTATTTATTCATAATATGTATTATGTTTAACTCTCTTGGCAACTTCAGTTAAATCAGGCTTGGCAAAGTTAAGTCTTGCGTTAAATATGTTCAACTCACTTCCATCTGTTAATATATCTAAAATAGAACCAAACATCTTAGAAACATTGTAAACAAATTTTGAATTGAAAACATTGTGAACAAATTAGTCATTTGTGAACATTATCTCTAAACATACTCATTATTTGTTTTATCTATGATGACTATGTAGTTCCTACGATCATATGACAGAGATAATTATTCCATGAACACACACTCAATAATTTTCTTGCGTTGATTTTATCCTATTAATTTTCAAGATCTGAATTTCCTAAAACTAAAACATTACAAATTAGTACTAAATTAGTAAAAAAAAAGTATTAATCATTGATCAATATTTATAATTATTGATTTTTTTCTTTGAATATCTTATTCTGGTTGGAAAAGTTCCAGCAATTTGTCTTAAGGCTTAATTAAAAATTGTTAACTTTTTAACTTCGCCTATATCTTACTCGAGTAAGATGATTATTATAATAGTCTATAGTTATAGTTACTATAATTATAGTAATTGCAAAATATAAGGCATATATTACATATCTTTACGTTTCAAAGGATTCTGAACATTTTGGAATACCTCAGAAAAAATTGATGTATGTTTGTATGTGTGGATACATTTTTTCGTCGACGGTTTCGGAAACGACGCGGATCAACCGATTTGAATAATAATAATATTGTTCCAACGACACGTTTAAAACACCGATTTATGAAGATTATAATTGATATAATTTTGTTCATTACATGATTTTTGTTAGAATGTATATTTTTGGAGATGTTTGCAAAAAAAACGCCAACAAGAAACGAATTTTTAGTAGCAAGAAAAGTATTTGCTTTTTTAAAAAACATTATGAAACATTTTTTTCTTATAATTAGTTCTTCTATCGATATCTTTATTTTGAAAACAACTAAATTTACACCACTGAGAATGGGTGTCATCCACCGTTGAGTCTAAATTATTTTCACTTTTTGAACTTGAGAGTAAGATGAACCTAATTCCAAAATTTCATACGGATTGGAGCACAGTAAAAAAATTTAAATCCAAAACGTTCCATTGATTTGAGTAAATATTCCGTATACACATTTTGCCACGGGCCCCGGAGGGTCTAGTTACGCCACTGTCCAAAACCCTCAAAGAATCGGACCATAATAAATAAGGATATTTAGTTCCTCTTATGCAAAATTGTACCGGCTTTTTGAAATGGTGAAATATTTAAAAAAAAATATTTTCAACAAATATAAAACATTAGTATTTTTTATGTGAAAAAATCTGGATGTAATTTTTACAAATGACTAGTGGAAAAGGGCATTTAGCAATTTTTTTATGAATAGAGGAGTATATTAAACATCCTAAACATATAATCTTCTTTCATCTATGATATTAAATTTGAAAAGGCGCGCCACTTGTTAAATAACAAAGCGATTCGGCAAGTGTCTCATCTTTCTAAAAGCAGACTCTATGTTTCAAATGTCAAATAATGAATGTAATGCCCGAAATAATTGAAGTGCAATAGTTGAAATTATCTATGATTTCGAAAATGATTGTCGATTAAAGTAGATTATTATTTAGCCTACGACTATTTTCGTGTATATTTTGTGAGTAAAAGCAGTGAGAGTATTTAAAAATGTCAGACGAAATAATTATGAACAATCAGGCAATTAAAATTGAACCACCAGAATATTCAGTAGAAGAAATTGAATACGAAATTGAGGATGATTTTGATGATGCTGATGCTATTGTTAAATCAAAATCATGTACTGAGGATGATAAAACGTGTTTAGAAAGATTCATGAATTCCGAAGTGATTATAGAAGAAGTCAAACAGGAGTCAATCGAGACATTGGCCTTTGAATGTGACATTTGTTATCGATCATTTGCACAATCACATCATTTGAAAGAGCATATGGTCGATCACATGTCTACTAATAGCAAAGAGAGCCATTTCAAATGCGAAATCTGTAATAAGACTTTCAAACTAGCCAAAGGGTTGAAAATACACATGAATATACATTCTGCAGAACGTTCCTTTGATTGCAAATTTTGCAATAAGTCATTCAATGAATTGGTTGCTTTGAAAAAACACTATCAGGTTCACAGTGGTGAATTCGCGCATGAATGCAATATATGCAATAAGACATTCACAGAATTAGGTCATTTGAATCAGCACATGCTGATTCACAGTGGAGTACGTCCCCATCAATGCAGTATATGCAATAAAAAGTTTACAGAATTAGGTAATCTGAAACGTCACATGCTGATTCACAATGGAGTACGTCCCCATGAATGCAGTATATGCAATAAGACATTTCGACAATTAGGTACTATGAAACGTCATATGCTCATTCACAATGGAGTGCGTCATCATGAATGCAGTATATGCAATAAGAAATTTAAAGAATTACGTTCTCTGAAACCTCACATGCTCATACACAGTGGAATACGTCCCCATGAATGCAATGTATGCAATAGGACATTCACACAATCAGGTACTCTGAAACGTCACATGCTGTGTTGTAAGAGAGCATAAATGAGAAATATGCAATAAAGGATTTAGTCAATTGAAGAAATGAAAGTGACACATGGCACTTTATAGTCGGAAGTGTGATAAAAATCAACAAAATTTGAACATATTTGTTAAACTGATGTTAAATATTTGGAATTATATTATAAAATATTCCTGCATGCAATATAATGTAATGCATATGAAAATAGAATGAAATATACATTGTACATCACCTAATATGAATTTATTGATATCAAGCCAATTGTTACATCTGCCAAATTAAGTATTAATAATGTGGATTAGCAACTATTGGTTCCGAATTCGATACTTGTCTTGGCCAGCTTGTAATCAAGTAGTACTGATATCAGATATTTATTAACTTCCTGAAGGAAAGGTTTGTTTTTGCCAGACAATACGATTTGCTAATTTACACATATGCACTTTAAATCATCATATATTTTATAAAGATTTCAATAATAAATTATAATAATTTCAAATATAAGTTTCAATAATAAATTTTGTTTATATTTCTATGGGTTCCGTCAGAAGTAACAAACAATGTAGCAAACCGTTAATCTAAGCATTGTGGCAGGTTATACAGAAATATGTTGCAAACAGATTCCAATTATTAGTTAATTTTTTTTTGTGGTGTAGTGATAGGTTGCACAAAAACATGTTGGGGTTCCAAAAGTTTCCCGACCACTGGCTTATTAGGCGCTTTATTATTTTGTCGCAGCGCGATTGCTTTGAAAAAGAATGTTCAAAATTTTCAAACGTTTTCAAAATGCAAACAACAAATTCTTCAAAAAAGTCAATTGTTTCCTAAAATTCTAAGAAATCTAATTTATTCAAAGTTTTCAAAATATTTTAAGAGTTTTTTATAAAAAATTTAAATTTTTGGTACGGGATGTTCCAGCAATTTGCCTTAAGGCACGACGTCAAACACCACGACTAGTTAACTTTCTGTAGGGTAAGTTATAGTAATGGGCCAAAAATCAAAAATGAAAATTTTTGCATATCTTCACGTTTTGAAGGTTTCTGAATATTTTGGCATACCTCAGAAAAAATGGATGTGTGTGTGGATACAATTTTTTGTCGACGTTTTCGGGAGTACCGCTCAACCGTTTCAAATGATTGAAAAAGCAATCGATTCCTACTGATGGGGAATAGTGCTGATTAGTTTTTGAGAAAGATCGGCCCAGTCGTTTCGGAGATACGAAGCAAAGAGTGCAGAAAATGAAAATTGATTTTTGCGAGAACCGGGCATCCGATTGGAATGATTTAAAAGACATTAAATTCGTAATGATGGTACTTGCAGCTGTTTTGGAGATAAAGAGCAAAATGTGCAAAAATTGGTTTGTGAGTAGTTTGTGAGAGAACTAAGCATTCGATTTGAAATTGAAAATTTCGCTTGTGTTATCAAAACAATTGCTTTTGGAAAAACAAATTTTTTTTAAAATTTTTTTTGTTTATCGAAGATAATTCAGATTTTAATTTTTATCCTTGCTAAAGTACTTTAGAACGTTTAAAAGCACACTTATATACTTCAAACAAATAATTTTAACTTTGTAATTTGGTTTATATAATTCTCATAACAATGTTACAATATTTATAATAATCTATTCGAAAACATTCAATATTTTTGAAACATTTCGTTACGGTACAGGAAGTTCCAGCAATTTGCCTTAAGGCGCGATGCTTTGAACCCCTTGTTTACTCTTTTTAGTAGGTCTCCGAAACCGCTGGACCTGCCTTCCCAAAAATTTAATCAGGTTTTTATTTTGTCAATAAAAGTAAAATGTATTTTGAATTATTTAAATCGGACGCTCCGTTCTCTCAAAAACTGTGTGGGAATCAAGTGAGCCTGGTGAATTTTGCGAGAAACAAATGGTCATCACATTTTTTAAAGTTTTATATTCACAAAATTTAATATATTTTTATATATGGAAATATCTTTTATATATTTTATTATTTCCATAACTGAATCACATTTTTGGCATCTTTTGCCCCTTATCTTCGATATTGCTAGACCTAATTTGACTAATTTTAATTTTTTTTAAATTTAATCTGGGAAAGAATGATTCACAAAGATTTTGTCAGAAGGGGGATGGTTTCAATTCTCGTGTTATAGCGATTTCGTGTTAAAGAAGTACCGTGTTAGGAGGGGGGTTACCCAGTGCTGGATTTACAGTAGGGGCAATCGGGGCTACTGCCCAGGGCGGAAAATTTTAGGGGGCGGCAAAATTTGGATAGTGAGAAAAAAATTCTATACAATATAATCAACATTTTTAACAACATTTTTTATTTAAAGAAATATAATTAACAATCGATTGCAATGCAAAATTTGGGTTGAAATAAACGATAACTAAAATTTATTATTTTGCCTTGCCTCCCTCTCCGAACGTAAATAATCAAATTGGTTAATAAGTTATCAAATTTGGCAATTTGGCTAATATAAAGATCCGTAAACAAACTGAAAGTTTAAGAAATATATGTTCTTCAGTTCTCGAGCCCTCTTAAAATGACGCATTTGTGCACTTCCAAGCTTATCGAAAAAAAAATTTAAACTAGTGACTCAAGATATTGTGCCTTAAGACAAATTACTGAAACATCCCGTACTGAAAATTACATTTTATAAAGCGCTTTAAATTTTATTGAAAAATGAAAAAAAAAAGACTTCTAAAACACATTTTTTGTATTTTGAAATTTTTCGAAATTTATGAACTTTTTGCAAAGAAATATCGAAACTCAATTACCATTTTTCGTAATTGCCTGTACCAAACGCTAATCAGCACGTCTCCCCATTAATTCAAATCTAATATGTTTTAATTATTCAAGTCGATTTCGAGAACACGGATCAACCGATTTATGATTCCTATTGATAAGAAGACGTGCTGATTATTTATCGGTCAAGGCAGGTCCATCTGTTTTGAAGATTCGGGCCAAAATGCCAAAAATGATAATTCAGTTTTTGAGAAAAAAGCGTCCAATCACATTCAAGAAAATTTACAGAATAAATAACTGCTTAAATTTATGGGGGGCAGGTTCAGCGGTTTAGATGATCCAATAAAAAAATTTGAAAAATATGCACGTTACATTATCAGATTTTAAAGATATTATAATAATAAGAATAAATTTTGTTTACATTTATATAAGTTCTGTAACATTGTTTATCCGTTAGACTGCGACGCGGCGCTTGCGCGCTTCAATATTTTGTCCCTCGCAGCGCGATTGCTTTAAAAAAAAAGTTCGAAAGTTCGTAAAATTTCAGGGATGGGGCGGCATTTTTGTCAGTGCCCCGGGGCGCCAAATTTCTAAATCCGGCCCTGGGGTTACCTGTATAATAATGTATAAATATGTATTGTTAAGCTCTATTCTCTCATTGTAATTTTCAACCCAATTTAGTGACCAAACGTTACTCGATATATTTTATTATTATAATTTTTTAACAGATGATTTTTAACATTAGTATTTAATAAAACCGTGGCAATCAGGAAATAGGTAGATAAGTAAACCAGCGGACTAGTAGACTGATATACAGGTAAACAGGTAGGGAAATAGATACGTAGATAGATAAAAAAGTAAACTGGCAAATTGGTGGACGGTATACGAGTGGACAGATAAACTGGTAGACTGATGAACTGGTAGATAGATAAATATGTAGATATGTGAGCAGATAAACAGGTGAACAGTTAGACAGTTAGGTTGATAGGTAAACAAATCTATGTCAAGCCGACGAATCATCTGTACGTTTTGTGGTGTTTTGTAGTTTGCTATTGATTATAGTTAATTACATAATTCTAAGTTAATTAATCTGTATACAGATATTATAAGTATGTTTTAAGATATTAATTAAAAATCGTTTTTAATGAAAGCAAAATATTTATTTTAGCTTCTTTTAAGCTAATTCTAATTTCTGTTGATAATAACAAAAATAGATATGCATAAATAAGCATAACAAGTATCAACACGTATCGGACAGTTCTTGCAACTTGCCTTAAGGCAAAATGCTACTTATAGCTCTGGGTTGTTTGGAAAGTAACTTCGTAAATTCATATTTGGCACGTATACTTTGAGAAATTATGTATTGGAAATTTTGATCGAACATCTTTTGTCATATTTCTCATATACATTTTTTGGTCGTTATTGGCAAAAAACCGATCAAAATGCTTTTTGACATGCTGATTTGCCGGAAAAAAAATAATGGTCCGATGATGGCAGGTCTGGAGAATATGATGAATGTGTCTTTGCTTCCCAAAGATACAATACAAGCTTACAATGACCAAACTTATCTGAGGTCTTGCGTCGTCCTGATGTAGGACTATATCTTCTTGTGGGATAATTCTGACCTTTTCTATTGAAGTATATCATTTAGTTTATCCAGCTGATGACATAAGGCATCCAAATTAACCGTTTAGTTATCCTGGAAATACTGAAAAATGAACCAAATGTAAAATCTTACCAAACATACAGCATCACCCTTTTCTTGCAAATTTCAGCTTTGCATCTGTTGGAGCAGGTTTTCTTTTTTGTTTCATGGGCAATTGCGTGTATTGTATTCTTTACATCCCATTTGATATTCCTAGTGACAATTCGCTTCAAAACTTGATAATTTTTAGGACTTTTCAGAGGCGAATCGCGGACGCCTGTACGAAGACACACGTTTCTTTCTATGAAAACCATACATTGAATTTCGTGGAAAATCCCAGACTTTTTGAGCGGTCATGAACTGTTGAATTTGATTATTTTTAACTCAATGTGATCTCATGTATTGTTATTTGTCGGTTTGCATCATCTAATGCCTTTCTCGCGTTTTTATCAGTATCGCGTACTTCTTGGACTTGGAGCATCTTGTACATCAAAATACCAGGAATGAACTTTAGAAAACCAATTTTCCACTGTCCTACTATCAACACGTCATTTCTATACACATTGGTCAATTTCATTTTGACTCAAACAGTATTATTAATAACTTTTCTACAGCCAAAGAGTAAGATAAGTCGGAAATGCAGCTTAATTCTTTT